AATAAAAACCTGGAGAATGCGGGCATCGATCCCGCTACCTCTCGCATGCTAAGCGAGCGCTCTACCATTTGAGCTAATTCCCCGCTCTGACTCACACCGCTCTCCTGCTGACAGGATGCTTTGTTTGTCGCAGTGTGGACTCGCCATTATGACATCAGATTCTCCGCCCATTGACGCAAGATTTAAAAAAAAAAAAAAGGTTTGTGTGGTTAACTCTTCGATGCTCGGAATCATTTTGGTATTGTTTTTATAAACCTTCTTAAATAGTCGTCTTTAATTTAGTGCGACATTTGGAAAGGTTATGCAAAACTGCAGTGTTAAGCCAGGTTCCCATCTACGCGTGTTGCAATGGATGCGTTTTTTTTCAGTGTGTTTGGAGGTGCATTTTTGAACATGAGTTTTTAAAGAGTTTTGCATGTACTGCGTTTTTGCTGAGTTTTTGCTGTGTTTTTGATGTGTTTTTGATGTGTTTTTGCTGCGTTTGCTGTGTTTTTGCTGAGTTTTTGCTGCGTGTTTGCTGTGTTTTTGCTGAGTTTTTGCTGCGTTTGCTGTGTTTTTGCTGAGTTTTTGCTGCGCGTTTGCTGTGTTTTTACTGAGTTTTTGCTGCGTGTTTGCTGTGTTTTTGCTGAGTTTTTTCTGTGTTTTTGCTGGGTTTTTGATGTTTTTGATGTGTTTTTGCTGAGTTTTTTCTGTGTTTTTGCTGGGTTTTTGATGTTTTTGATGTGTTTTTGCTGAGTTTTTGATGTGTTTTTGCTGTGTTTTTGCTGCGTTTGCTGTGTTTTTGCTGAGTTTTTCTGTGTTTTTGCTGAGTTTTTGTTGCGTGTTTGCTGTTTTTGATGTGTTTTTGCTGCATGTTTGCTGTGTTTTTGCTGAGTTTTTGCTGCGTGTTTGCTGTGTTTTTGCTGAGTTTTTGCTGCGTGTTTGCTGTGTTTTTGCTGTGATTTTGCTGTGTTTTTGCTGCGTTTTTGCTGTTTTTGATGTTTTTGCTGTGTTTTTGATGTGTTTTTGCTGAGTTTTTGCTGTGTTTTTGCTGTGTTTTTGCTGAGTTTTTTATGTGTTTTTTGCTGAGCATTTATACCAAAATGCTTTCAATAGATTGTACCAGGGGCAGACTGACCATTTGGAAACTCGGGCATTGCCCGAGGGCCCGGGGTCAGTAGGAGGCCCCATGAGATGCCCCTGGTACCTTTTTCATAGGCTTTTTTGAGTGTAGGCAAGGACACAGGGGCCCCATGATCCCCTATTGCCCGGGGGCCCCATGAGTTGTTAGTCCGCCCCTGGATTGTACACCCCTTGAGGGTTAGGGACTGATGTGAATGTACAATATATATACAAAGCGCTGCGTAAATTGATGCCGCTATATAAGTACCTGAAATATAATAATAATATTAATAAATAAAATGGTATATTTAACCAAAAGAAAGCAAATTAAAAATATGTCTTCCAACACATTGTCCTGTACAAGTCCCAGGTAGGGATCCCCCTTCCAAACTTTCATATGTCCTATAAGGAGGGGGATTAGCTCAAATGGTAGAGCGCTCGCTTAGCATGCGAGAGAGGTAGGGGAATCGATGCCCGCATTCTCCAGGTTTTTTTTTTTTTCTTTCTTTTCTTTTTTTTTAATGCCCACACATTGGTTTAACATCATATTTGATATAAATCTGTTCCCGATCATCTTTAACCCTCGGTTCACACCTAATCATTTTACGCAGCTTTTTGCAGAAATGCAGTACAGTCCATGTAATATGATTTCCTATGGGACACGTTCACCTCTCCGCGTTTTCACCTGGTGCGTTTTTTTTTGGAAAGGGTCAGGGACTTGCGTTTTGGGTTCTATAGACTTAAATGGAAACGCTGCAGAAAAGCATGTGCCAAAAAAAAGCAATGCGCAGCGCAAAACGTACTGCAGAAACAAAGCAAAGGCAAATGCGTTTTGCATTTTAACCGCCTCCCGCCCGCCATATAGTAATATGACGAACGCAAGGCGGTTCTCTCGTTCTGGGAGGACGTCATTTGATGTCCTCCCATTCTAACCGCGCATGCGTGGCTCCCGGAGCGCGCAGCGCGGCGATCGGCGGTGCGCTGTGTCCCACCGATCCAAGGAAAGAGCCAAAGATGTCGGCTCGGTCATGTGATCAGCTGTGTCCAATCACAGCTGTTCACATGTAAATAGGTAAATGCCGGTTATCGGCATTTCTCTCCCCACAAGCTGTCACACTGACAGAGGAGAGGAGAGCCGGTAATCGGCTTTACTCAGAGGGGACATGTACACTGATCATCAGTGTAGCCCCAGCAGTGCCACCTGTCAGTGTTCATCAGTGCCAGCTCTCAGTGCTCATCCATGCCACCTGCCAGTGCCCATCAGTGCCACATTTCAGTGCCCATCTGAGTTGCTTTTCAGTATCAACCATCAGTGCTAGTCAGTGCCACCTATCAGTGCTGCCAATCAGTGCCACCTATCAGTGCCAGTCAGTGCCGCCTATCAGTGCCAGTCAATGCTGCCCATCAGTGCCAGTCAGTGCCACCTAACAGTGCCAGTCAGTGCCACCTAACAGTGCCAGTCAGTGCTGCCTATCAGTGCCAGTCAGTGCTGCCTATCAGTGCCACCTAACAGTGCCAGTCAGTGCCGCCTATCAGTGCCATATATGAGTGCTGCCTTTCAGTTCCCATCAGTGATGCCTGTCAATGCCCATCAGTGCCACCTACCAGTGCCTCCTCATCAGTGCCCATCAGTGCAGCCTATCAGTGCCCATCAGTGCCACCTATCAGTGTCCATCAGTGCAGCCTATCAGTGCCCATCGCTGCAGCCTCATTAGCGCACATCAGTGAAGGAGAAAAAATCACTTATTTACAAAATTTTATAACAAAAATTAAGAAAAACCTTTTTTTTTTTTCAAAATTTTCAGTGGTTTTTGGTTTAAGAAAAAATAAAAATCCCCGAGGTGATTAAATACCACCAAAATAAAGCTCTATCTGTCACAAAAAATGATAACAATTTCATATGGGTACAGTGTTGCATGACCGCGCAATTGTCATTCAAAGTGTGAGAGCACTGAAAGCTGGAAATTGGCCTGGACAGGAAGGGGGTGTAAGTGCCCGGTAGGCAGGAAGGGGGTAGAAGTGCCCGGTAGGCAGGAAGGGGGTAGAAGTGCCCGGTAGGTAGGAAGGGGGTAGAAGTGCCCTGTAGGCAGGAAGGGGGTAGAAGTGTCCTGTAGGCAGGAAGGGGGTAGAAGTGCCCTGTAGGCAGGAAGGGGGTAGAAGTGTCCTGTAGGCAGGAAGGGGGTAGAAGTGCCCGGTAGGCAGGAAGGGGGTAGAAGTGCCCGGTAGGCAGGAAGGGGGTAGAAGTGTCCGGTAGGCAGGAAGGGGGTATAAGTGTCCGGTAGGCAGGAAGGGGGTATAAGTGTCCTGTAGGCAGGAAGGGGGTATAAGTGCCCTGTAGGCAGGAAGGGGGTATAAGTGCCCAGTAGGCAGGAAGGGGGTATAAGTGCCCAGTAGGCAGGAAGGGGGTAGAAGTGCCCAGTAGGCAGGAAGGGGGTAGAAGTGCCCAGTAGGCGAGGGGTTAAATTTTGTCCAGCAACAAGAACCTTCAAAATGCAGCAAAGAAGTGTCAAAAACCTGTAAAAAACGCGTGTGCAAAAAACACAATACGCACAGCAAAACGCACTGCAAAAACAATGCAAATGCATTTTTCCCACGTCTTTGATGCGTCTTGCATTTTAAATTTGCCTAGCAACAAGAACAGGGCGTCTGTGTGTATGAGGATTTGAAATGTGCATATTTACACGTGTACGCAGAAAAAAAAAAACCAGCTCCGGCAGCGAAAAGCCTCAATGCACTGAAAAATAAACCACGCCGAGTTGAAAATAGGTGAGAAAAAGTGATATTTGGGGAAATATGCTTCTCTCTGATAAGGGGGGAAAAAAAAAAATCACCCGTCCCTGGGTGGGCTTGAACCACCAACCTTTCGGTTAACAGCCGAACGCGCTAACCAATTGCGCCACAGAGACCTGTGGGAGGTTCAGCTGAATTTTACCATTGTAAGCATGGACTCTCAGGACAGCATTTTCAGAGGGAAATCAAGGGGGGGGGGGGGCCTAGATGATTTATGTATAACCAGTTGTTAGAATATAATGTGGATTGAGGGGCGGTTCACACTATAGAACCACAGTCCACAGGATCAGGGGCAGGCTGACAACTGATGGGGCCCCCGGGCAATAGGGGATCACGGGGCCCCTGTGTCCTTGCCCAAACTCAAAAAAAGACTATGAAAAAGGTACCAGGGGCATCTCATGGGGCCCCCTACTGACCCCAGGCCCTCGGGCAGTGCCCGAGTTTCCAAGTGGTCAGTCCGCCCCTGCACTGATGTGAGCTATGACATTGACCACCATATCACCTACTTTCTGTGCGTTTTGAATGCAGAAAAAAAGCAACTGAAACGCACGGAGTGCGAACCAGCCTAAGGGCTGGTTCAAATTTTAGAAACGCAGTCCAGATGCGTTTGCGTGTTTTTGCTTGCACATTTTTGATGCATTTTTTAAGTGTATTTGATGCATTCCAGTTAATTTTTTCCCCTCTCTTTTTCTTCAGTTCAAATAGGGACATGTGCATTCCGATGCGTTTTTAATGCGTTTTACCGCATTCCAGTACAGTTCTGCTCATAAAAAAATGCAGCATGTTCTACTTTTTTTTCTGCAGCCAGACAAAAGCAACTGAAATGCGTGCAGTGCGAACTGGCCCTAAGGGCCGGTTCACACTATAGAAACGCAGTCCAGATGTGTTTCGGATGCATTTTTGCATGCACGTTTTTGACGCATTTATGATGCGTTTTTGATGTGTTTTTGACGTGTTCCAGTGCATTTTTGATGCATTTAAGTTTATTTTTTCCCCTCGCTTTTTCTTCAATTTAAACGTGTGCTCTAGTGAAGTTTTGTGGGCGTTTTTGTGCATTCTGGTGCATTTTTTATGCATTTTACTGAGTTCCAGTGCAGTTCTGAACAATTTTGATGCGACTTTACAGTCTCTGGCACTCTAGTAGCATCAAAGTCTAATCAAAGTAGTGCAGGAATCTTTATGTGACCAAAGTTGCATGTTAGGGTCAGGGGCGTATTTACCACAAGGCATTTGCCTAGGGCGGCATTTTTCAGGGGTGCGGCGCACCCCCCCATCAGAAGTGACACACGTGGCAGCCAGTGACTGAGGATGGGGAGCGGGTGAGGCACAGCATTACGGGATGCTGAAGGGCGTCCAACTCTCGTTCCTGGATCGTTGTCAGAGACGGGCACGGCATTGCGGGATGCTGAAGGGCGTCCGACTCTCGTTCCTGGATCGTTGTCAGAGACGGGCACGGCATTGCAGGATGCTGAAGGGCGTCCGACTCTCGTTCCTGGATCGTTGTCAGAGACGGGCACGCCATTGCGGGGATGCTGAAGGGCGTCCGACTCTCATTCTTGGATCGTTGTCAGAGACAGGCACGGCGTTGCGCGAAACTGAAGGGTGTCCAACTCTCGTTCCCGGATCGTTGTCAGAGACAGGCACGGCGTTGCGGGATACTGAAGGGTGTCCGACTCTCGTTCCCGGATTGTTGTCAGAGACGGGCACGGCGTTGCTGAATGCTGAAGGACGTCTGACTCTCGTTCCTGGATCGTTGTCAGAGACGAGCACGGCATTGCGGGATGCTGAAGGGCGTCTGACTCTCGTTCCTGGATCGTTGTCAGAGACGGCACGGCATTGCGGGATGCTGAAGGGCGTCTGACTCTCGTTCCCGGATCGTTGTCAGAGACAGGCACGGCGTTGCGGGATACTGAAGGGTGTCCGACTCTCGTTCCCGGATCGTTGTCAGAGACGGGCACGGCATTGCGGGATGCTGGAGGGCGTCGGACTCTCGTTCCTGGATCGTTGTCAGAGAATGGCACAGCATTGCGGGACGCTGAAGGGCATCCGACTCTCGTTCCTGGATCCTTGTCAGAGAATGGCACAGCATTGCGGGACGCTGAAGGGCATCCGACTCTCGTTCCTGGATCCTTGTCAGAGACGGGCACGGCGTTGCTGAATGCTGAAGGGTGTCCGACTCTCGTTCTTGGATCCTTGTCAGAGACAGGCACGGCGTTGCTGAATGCTGAAGGGCGTCCGACTCTCGTTCTTGGATCGTTGTCAGAGACGGGCACGGCATTGCAGGATGCTGCCTTCAGCCGACTCTCGTTCCTGGATCGTTGTCAGAGACGGGCAGGGCGTTGCGGGATGCTGAAGGGCGTCCGACTCTCGTTCCTGGATCGTTGTCAGAGAAGGGCACAGCATTGCGGGACGCTGAAGGGCGTCCGACTCTCGTTCCTAGATCCTTGTCAGAGACAGGCACGGCGTTGCTGAATGCTGAAGGGCGTCTGACTCTCGTTCCCGGATCCTTGTCAGAGACGGGCACGGCATTGCGGGATGCTGAAGGGCGTCCGACTCTCGTGTCCTTCCAAAATTGTGCCCCAGGGTTGTCCTCCAGCAGGACTGGACCCAGGAACATTGTACTTGCAATAATAAAAAAAAAAAAAACCTAACAATTGCCTGATAGAAATTCTGAACCACATGCTCTCAGGTTTAGGAGAATCTTTCTTGCTAGGACTCCTGTAGGACATTCTTTCAATGAGTGTCAGTAGGAGAAGGCGGCACAACATGAAGGGGAGTGGAGCCTTTGGCCGGCTCTGCTCAATGATGCTTTTGCATATCACCAAAATGACAGAGCCAAGCTACTGTTTGGCAAACGTCCATCTCCTCCTCCAACCCCCAGTCCTTCAGTCCTCCAACCCCCAGTCCTTCAGTCCTCCAACCCCCAGTCCTCCAACCACCAGTCCTTCAGTCCTCCAACCCCCAGTCCTTCAGTCCTCCAGTCCTCCCCACTTTTCTAGTATGACTCTATAGAAGAAGAAACCCGTCTGCCAGGATCCAGACGTGCGAACATCTGGACTAGGAGCTCAGTTGATACGCTCGCTCGCAGCGCTCCTCTGACTCTCTGGGGCTGAACTCAACTTTCTGGACTCTAGAAAAGCCGGTAAGAGAAGGTGGCGGGGGGCTCACGAAGCTACGAGGGGTCCGCCAAACAATCCATGCATGTTTTATAACTACTTGTAACATGTCTGTGGATGGTGGTACTAGCGAACACGTTAGAAATGTTCATACAAGCTGAACTTTAAAACCCTCGCCTACAGGACACTTTCACCCCCTTCCTGCCCAGGCTAATTTTCAGTTTTCAGCGCTGTCGCACTTTGAATGACAATTGCGCGGTCATGCAACTTTGTTCCCATATGGAAATTGTATCATTTTTTCACACTATTAGAGCTTTCTTTTGGTGCTGTTTAATTACCGCTGGGTGTTTTATTTTTCACACTATAAATGAAAAAAAACTTAACATTTTGAAGAAAAAAAAAAAGGTTCTTTGTTTCTATTATAAAATTTAGCAAACAGGTAATTTTTCTCCTTCACTGATGTGCGTTGGTGAGGCTGCACTGATAGGCAGCACTGATGGGCATTGATGAGGCAGCACTGATGGGTGCTAATGAGGCAGCACTGATAGGCAGCGATAGGCTGAACTGATGAGGCTGCTCTGATGAGGCGGAACTGGTGGGAATTGATGAGGTGGCACTGATGAGGCAGCACTGATATGCGGCACTGATGGGCACTCATAGGTGGCAATGTTGGGTACAGATAGACAGCACTGATGGGCACTGATGAGGCAGCACTGATGGGCACTGATGAAGATGCACTGATAGGCAGCACTGATGGGCACTGATGAGGCAGCACTGATGGGCACTGATGAGGCAGCACTGATAGGGCACTGATAGGCTGAACT